AAAGGCTGACCCATTTCCTCTCTAACCCTTACCAGAACAGACCATGTAAGTCCTGTTTGCAGAGAACAGCATAACTGCTTTCACCTGCTCCAAAACAGATCACACAGCTTCTGTTCAGTATAAATACACAAATTGAAAATCCTAATGGAAATAATTGGCACTGACTTCTTCAGTGAAAATTAAGAATCATTTGTGTTACCTCACACCTAAAGCATATAACAATGGAGAGCTCTGATTGCTCACAAAAATATTTAATAAGCACACAGTGATGGAAAAGTTAATTTAGTTGCACAACTCTTAAGAGGCATTACATCTTGCCAAACCAACAGATGCATTTACATTTACTTTCTAGTTCTATACCTTTTTCTGTTAAACAGGACTGGGGTTTCTTGCAGCTAAATTCATGCTGCATCTGTGCTTCATCAGTTCCAGAAAGAACCATGAGTTTTGCTTCCTTCACAAACCACCCTGGATCACAAGCTAAGAGCACAAGAGAAATCAAATAGTTCCTTCAACCTCAGGATTCAAAAACCTGACTTCCAATAATCTTTTCCCATATGGATTCTCTGATGCCTCAGCTGTACCCACAGAGTGCTTTATCTTCAGATAGGTACTAATTTGAATCCCATTTCTGCACCTCAGAAGTTATTTTCACAAAGCCTTAAAAGCACTGATTTTGAGAGCTCTGCTTTATTAATAAGCGTGACTGAAATTTGAGTTGACGATGTGCAAGTATTTGGGAGAGAGCAGCACATGATAAATCTCACTGCTTTACTTGAAGAATTTACAGATTCTAAAAAGAGAACTATCATGGTTCTTGGGACACACAAAAGGGGAAGCAAAACAAAGTAACACAATTAAGTAAAAATTATTAAAAAGCTGGCAAGAGACTGTGGTAGACTATGAAATCACTGACAAACCTCTGTTACATGGAAGTTTATGTTTCCCTTCTTCCTAGGTAACAAGATCAGGAAATGGCCTCAAGCTGCACCAGGGGAAGTTTAGAAAAATTTTATATTAGGAAAAATTTCTTCAATACAAAGAAAAAAATTAGGAAAGAATGGTCAGGTATTGAACCAAACTGCCCAGAGAAGTGGTGGAAGCACTGGTGAAAGTGTTCAAAAAACCTGTGGATGTGGCACCTGGGGACACGGTTTAGTGGTGAATGTGGCAGTGCTGTTTTAACAGACTCTGCCTCAGAGGTCTTTCCAAACTTCATGATTCTATGAGCACAAACTGAAGCTGTGCCTAGACTATTTAAACTCCCTGTCATTAAAAATCCATCACTAAGAGGTGGACAAAGCTTCCCATTCCACATCCACACTTAGTTATATCCTTTGGCACTATCTGCTGGACCACCAGGTATGCAAAGCTACAGCACAAGCCATCCTTTCCATCCTATATCAACCATCACTGAAGGGCATAACAGCTACCTGTATTTACTTGCTACATCTGGTGCAGAAACAAGAGGTGGAAAAGTTGGGAGGGTGTGTTTTAAATGTTCCTGGTTGTTAGAAAGGGTTAAGTTAATAATAACTAGAGTTTGAGAAGACAAAAATAAGAAGAGAAGGGATTGAGAGGAAAACTAATGTCTTTACAAACAACTTTATGGGTGAAGGTGTGGGTGTTAACATCTTTGAAAAGGGGCTTAATGTCTCTACTAACTGCGGGCAGCAGGTTCCTTGCAGAGCCCAGGCACCTCGGTTCCTGAAACAAACAAGTGGGGGTCTGCACAAGCCTGAGCTTCTGAACTTTGGGGTAAAATAGTAGGTTCAAGGGGGGAATACGTGGTAGACAGTTCGGGAAGGCTGTACCTTCCTAGTGCCTCAGCCAATGGGGAAAGGAAGAAGTCAAGGGAGTTGAGGATAAAAGGAGGCTGCACCCTCCAAAACCTCTAGAAAATGCCATGGGTGTGTGCCCCGGTGGACACATTTTTTTCTCTCTCCCTTTATTTGAATAAAGTTGCAGGACTCCTCCTTTCTGGACATAACCCTCTGGCATTTGTGGATTTTCCTGACACGAGGAAGAACCTCTTTACTGTGCAGGGCACCAAGCACTGGAAAAAGCTGACCAGAGAGTGTGGAGTCTCCCTCACCAGCGATATTGAAGAACCATCTGGACACAATCCTGTGCCCCTTGCTCTGGGATGACCCTGCTTGAGCAGGGAGGTTGGATCAGATGACCCACTGTGGTCCCTTCCAGCCTGATCACTTCTGCAGTTCTGTCCTATACAACACAAAGTATTTCAGGAATGATGTAATTTTATCCCCTATTATAGTGCTGATCCCCCTAAAAATTAGGACCAGGCTAACTTGCAGTAAGTACATCTGACTCTTCTGAAACTGACTCTTGTGAAGCTTATCTCAGAAGGCACAACAATAAATACTATCAGTCTACACATATTAAACAGTGAAAAGGTGTTCAGTACAGAGCAATAGCATACAGTCAGAAAGACGCTGACATGAACTACATTTAACAAGGCTCTAACACAAATGAATTGGTCCACCAGAAATGAGGTTTGGAGCAATTTATCATGAGAGGGAGCAATCCTTGCAATCCCGTTGCTGCCATTTACTGATATGCTTGACCTTTTCAGAAGTATGACTTCATTAATTAATTGCCAAGGTGCCAAATCACATGACCTGTCAAATCATGGTAATACCCTAAAGCACCACAGTCATTATCAAAAGAATCAGAGTGCCCAGCAAGTATTCAAACTGCAAACTAATCTTAAATTGCCACATGAACTTACAATTTAAAAAACATTCTGCTTTGGAGGAGCTTTACCACCCAAAGTGAAAAATTTTACTCTGTGGCTCTTCTGAACCTACTCACCTCTTTAGGATCTTAATGTTTTTAGAAAGCACAAGTTCTTAATTTTCTGCATCAAGTATTAGACACTGTAAAAAGTATTTTCCTGTATCCCACTCAAACAGTCCTCCTTTAACAGACAGCTTCTGAAATAACTTGTGTAGAAAAATAAGGGAGCAGCGCTGTGGAGTGGTCAGATTTTTAATGGATAACATTTCAATGTCTTCCTCTGTATTGAATTCCTCTGAGCAGTGTACTAGCATAAGTAATATCATTACTGCATGATGACAATTACAGAAAAATATGCCTACACCTCATGCTGCTGAGGGCTACTCTAGAAGCCTCTGGAACTAAATTACTTTATGTAGACACAAAATAATAAAATTTGAAGACAAATGACAGGTCAAATAAATAGTGAAGACTTTGACAGAACACAGATACTTGTTTGGAATGTCTTGGGCTATGTTTCCACTGTATGCAGCATTAATACTCAAATAAAAATACTTGTGCCACTGGAGTATACCTCATTCTCTGAAACATTCTGAATTACACCATGAGAAGTTGTTATATTTACACCAGGCAAATATGGATGCTTAGCAACACCAGAAAACTTGTTCTAGCAAATAATTAGCAGCTGGGCAAATAAAATCTCTCTTTGAAAGTTTTCTCATTTAGAAAAACATAGAGAAAAAATACCCACAGGGAAAAAAAAATGGTGGTATCCACAAAAGTAGAAAAATGAAGCCCTAAACACTTCCCTTCCTCTTCCTCCCCATCCCCAGAAAAGAACAAAGAAAAAGATGAAAGGAAATCTATTTCAAGTCTATTTCAAGTTTATTTCAAGTCTACCTATACAGATACCAGCAGGTATCTGTATAGGTAACGTAGCCTCTAAAAGATGTTATCAACCTTTGGAAAAAAACCCACAAACAAAACCCTCCTTGTTTACATTAATAAGTGAAACAAGAGAGAAGCTACATACACCAGTTGATACCAAACACATCACAAGATACCCAAGATTTCAGGAAGAAAATGAAAGGCTTCCCAGCTGGCTGCTTGGAACATCTTGCTTCCATCAAGTCTCTCCACTACCAGTCTTTATATCTGCACGGCCTACTAACAGAACTGAGCTTTTCTATTTTGTTACTCAGCCTTCCTTCCTAAAAAAAAAATAAACTATGGCTTTTGAGGTCACTATGCTAGCATAAGGAGTTACATAAAACAGTGAATCTATGAACTTCTTTTGCAGGACAACTACCCATACTTTCCCCGCTTGATGGCTACAGCAGCACTTGTTGATTTCTGGTATGCAGCAAAAAAGCTTTAGAGGAGGAAACACACACCGCACTGGATGCTCAGCTGCACACGCTGCAAGGGCTTTAGGCCTCAGAGAGTCTACCACTACTGGAAAAAAACAAACAGACAGGAAGACCTAACTAAGCTTGGGACAAAAGTTTTGATTTATTTTTCGCCCACTGTCCCTTTGTCAACAAGGCATGGAAGTTTCTTCCTCCAGCCCACTGCTCACTCACAAACACGTCCAGCCGCCGATACACGGCAGTGGCACTTCTCGGACCTCCAGCGCCTCGTCCCTCGTCAGGGGCCTGCGGCGGGCTCCGTCACCTTCCCCCAGCGAAAGGGGCAGCAGCGGGGAGGGGACGCCCGGCCGCAGCGGGGCCACCACTCGACCCCACGTTCGCACGCCCGCCCGTGGCGCGGTGACGGTGTTCGGACCCCCTCCCGCAGAGAGCTGCCCCGCGGCCGGGCAGGGGCGGCGGACACGTGTGTCCCCCCAGGCTTACCAGCTCTTCCTCGCCGCCTGAGCTCGGGTTGGGGTAGGTTCAGCGACCCGGAACATGAACCCGGCGCCTCCCCCGGCCGCTCCCCGAGGAGGCTGGCGCCGCTTCGCAGAGACTGGGCGAGGGGAGGCGGGCAGGGGCCGAGGGGGGGAGGACTCGGGCCGGGCGGGGAGGACTCGGGCGGCCGGCGCTGCTCCTCAGTCCCCCATGATGAGAACCCGGAAGCAGCCGCGGTAGCGGAGGAAGCCGGACGCGACCACCTCACCTCTTCCCTTCCCTCGCCCGGCCGCTGCCCAGGGACGCCGCATGCCCTCCAGCACCCTCGCCTCGGGTTCGGTACAGCTTCCCGGAGCTCCCGCTTCCTCCGGAGCACTGCCCGTGCCGTGCTGCGGGGCCGCCGGGAGCAGCGACACCCCCGCGCTCGAGCGTACTGAGACCGTCCCGTTGCCATGGCGGCAGCGTCTTGCGGGCGGGAGGAGGGAGGGAGCATGGCGGCCCTGGCCCGGCTTCAGGAGAGGCTGGCGGGACTCCGGGAGGAGTATTTCCTTACGAACAGGTACTTGGGCCATGTCGGTGGTGGGGCGGGATACATCGCCGTATGCTGGGCTGGGGCGGACGGGTCCTGCTCTCCGCCGGCAACGAGATGGAGGCAGCTCCCCTGGAAATTTTCCGGTTCTGGACTCCTCAGTACGAGGGAGACACGGAGCTCCTGGAGAAGGTCCAGTGGAAGGCTATGAAAATGATTAAGGAACTGGAGCATCCCTCTTACTAGGAAAGGCTGAAGGAGCTGAGCCTGTTGAGCCTCGAAAAGAGACGAGTGAAAGAGAACCTCATCCGTGTCTCTAAGTACGTGAAGGGAGAATGTGACGAGGATGGGCCAGACTCTTCTCGGTGGTGCCAAGCAATAGGACAAATGGCAATGGGTAGAAACTGGATGCACTGCAAGTTCAAGCTAAACATGAATAAGAACTTTATTGTGCAGGTGACCAAGCACTGGAACAGGTTGACCACAGAGAGCGTGGAGTCTTCCTCACTGGAAATATTCAAGAACCGTCTGGACACAATCCTCTGCCGTGTGCTCTGGGATGACCCTGTTTGAGCAGGGGGATTGGACTAGATGACCCACTGTGGTCGCTCCCAGCCTGACCCACTCTGTGATTATACGATTCTGTGAAACTGTTTCGCTTTAAAATCCCTCCCGAGAGCACCAACCCATCGCCTTTTCCCCAATATTTCCGCAGCGATCTGATGAGACCTGGTGGCCGCAGCGCAGCGTCTTTAAGGGGCCCGTTTATACACAGAAAATACTGAGTATCCCACTCTTCCCCCGCACCCTGATAATTTTGAGGGAAAAGGAGCCTCTGTAAACTCCTGAAACGCGCTGAGCCTTGCAATTTCCGCCCTCTCTCTCCTCGGGAGCCGACCTCGTCTCCCCCGTCCCGCCTCTGGAGCCTCCCGCCTCTGTCCCGCCCTAGAGGTGCTGTTCTTCCCTGACCATCCCTCAAGTGCGCCTGCTCTCGTGGCTCACGTTTGTGACTGTGCCTGGACGTTTGTCCTCTTGCAAAGACACTACTTTTTTAATATTTAATTTTTTTTCAAAGTAAATTGAAAGAGATCAGATCAGATCTGTTACCCTTGTCCTCACCAACTTGGATGGTTTGTGCCGAGTTTTCTGACTCCCAGAATGGTGGTGGCCAACTTTTCTCAGACCAGATTTTAGGAAATTAAAAGTTGTAAGACTTACTTAAATATTGCAGAGATTTGTCCTATAAATCCTTTTATTCAGCCTCACTGTTGCTGTATGTGTAATGAAAAAGCTCAAACGTAAAAAACCACCAAACATGTTTAGCACAGTTGTGGGTTTTTTCTTCACTAATTAATGAATAATTTATTTTTGAATCTAATTACAACATCATTAGCATGAATAACAAAGCTCCTGAACATGACTAAAAGTTACAGAGATCAAGTCCTGCCTGCATGTACAGTGTTGTGTTTTTCTGTTCTTTGCCTGAACTTTCACTCATACTCTTGTGGCTGTACACACAGCAGTTCACTAAACAAACATCAGTTGCAGGAGGCTATGCTTGTATTTCACATATTTGAGGTTAGAAAGAGCAGTCTGAGCCAGACTTGGAAATCCATTGGAGGGCAGCATGCTTGTTGTTTGGGGATTTCTTTTTTGGCAGAGTTCTCCAAAAATGAATTGTTTTCCTTTTAAGAATGGGTTATGGTCTGTTAGTTTCAGAAAATTCAGATTTGCAGCTGGGAATGCAAGTGAAAGGATTCAAAGAGTCCAGTGCAGCAACAAGTCGTAATAATGTTTTTTCTGATCTTAATAACATTCCTGTTGTGCTTTATGCAGAACTCTGTTTATGTGAGAGGTATGAGGTGTCCTAAACTGGCTTTTTAGGGAAAGCACCTTTCTAGGTGCCCAATGATGACACAGTGCAAGAATACCATAAGCCTGCATTTTGAGAAATACCCTTAGCATAAGGATAAGAATATACAAGATTCATTAATTCATTCTCTTAAGTGTTACACAATTTTATCACTCTACTCATTCAAGAACCTACTTTTATTTATTGTAGTATCTGTGTCAGGTGCTTGAGTAGGCCTTTTTAACTTTCAGTACAACCTTTGTGAAGTATCTGTGATGCTCAAGAGCTTAATTCAAACAGTATGACACCTGGGCAATCTGATTAAAAGGGCAGATACCTGCTTGAGAAACTTACGCCTTGAAACACTTCTGCTGGCAAGGGCAGCTGGAAGTGTTTGTGGAGCTATCCTGTGAGAAAAACAACTCTGTTGTTGGTTTGCTTCAATAAACTTTACAAGGATTTCTCTCCCATCCTGGCCAGGCAAGACTGAATGCCAACAAGGAAAAATCTATCAGGGAGTAAGAGAGGAGAAGGCTTGTGCTCTTCCAGAAGACTCTTGTCACTGCCAAGTGGGTAGGACTGGGTTTGGAGCTGGCACCTCTAACACGGCCAGTCCCATATCCCCCTCATTTCCACACTGTAATTGTGGCTGCCTGTCCAGGGTCAAATTGCTCACACCCTTTTGATCAAAATAATTTTCCTCTAAGGAAAAGCATTCTTGAGGCGTCTGCTTCCTGTTGAAGACTAGAAAGCTGCACAGGAAAGGAACAAGAAAGCTCTCCAGCCAGTTTTGAAAACTATTCAATTTTAGGTAAAAAAGCTTGTTTCCCAGAGTTTTCAGGCACTGAGAATGTCTGATGCACATCAGAGAGTGAAAATTTGTGCCCATTTAATGTGATTTGAGAGCACATGCTGCACCAGATGACATAAAATGAGTGGAGCTAATGTTTCTTGATCTCTGGTAGTAAATCTGGAATTCATTTAATTTTCAGACATATAATGAGGATAATCCTAATTTATCAGATAAACAATAATCTTGTTGGTATTTACTGAGGCAAGTAATGTTGACATGAAACTTTGTTAGGAGAGCTAATTAAGAAAACTACTAATAGTAACCTAAAGGTTATTTTTGTCAGGTATAACAAATTAAAGAATTTGGTGACTATGTTCCTAGTAAAAATGGGAAAGAATAAAAATCTTAATGAAAATTAAATCTTAATGAAAATTAATGAAAATTAAAATTTATTTTTAAGTTCAAAGACTTGTCAGTTACTGACATTTTGAAACAAACAAAAGAAGAATAAAAGCTAGAGGTGATCTCATAGCTGAGTTCTACCCCTCAGCATTGAAACTCATAATGGTAGCAATTTCTTCCTGAACTCTCTGAAAACTGTCCTCCAGACTAACAATATGTTTCTTTAATCTCTTTTAGTTTTATGGTCTTCCTTACATGACTTATAGCTTTGTCACAAACATTGTAGATTTACAATTTTATACAGTTATGTGATTTTTGTTGTAACTCAGGCCTAATTATCGTTAAAGCATTATCCACATATTTCACCTACAATGGAAGAAGTCCATGTGACATGCTGACATGTACCTAAGTATTGTATGGGAATAAGAAATACCCTCTCCCAGAACTTACATCCTCTACGAGCTGCAATATTCTTTGTTACTTTCATACTATGCAACTAATGTAAACTAAATTTTTCTGCACTAGCACTGAATTATGTAGAATTAAAAGTGAAAAACCTGGTGAAAAGGATCCCAAGCTGCAACAATAAAACATATTTAGAATAATATTTTTGCTTTGGTTTTACATGACTATGCTGAGAAATATTACTACTTTTATATTTTTTCAGAACTGTAGATGAAGACAGAAAAACAAAGTACAAGGCTGCTGTCAAGATCCAGCGCTGGTTTCGAGCATGCAGTGTCCGAGCCTATCTGAGGTATTATATGAAGCCTATCTTAATCCATGTTTCAGCATTGAATTTTTTCCTCAAAATTTCTCATGGTATTACTTGATTTTAATAAAATTGGAGCATTTGAAAAAAAAAAAAAAGGCAATAACTGTTACCCATTTTTTCAACAGAATTAAATATATGCTGTGTCATTGTAAGAAATAACAATTTTTGACTTTCAGAACTGTATACAATTAAAAAGTCATGATGCTAGAAAGCATGGAAATTATCTTCAGAATAAGAAGTGCCTGCCCCTCTGCTTCCCCCTGTGAGGAAGGTGTGGACTGCACTGATCTCTCTTCAGTCTTCTTGAGGCTGAACAGAATTGACCTCAGCCACTCCTCTTGTGGCTTCCCCTTTGAGGCCCTTCACCAGCTTTGTTCTGGGGAATGCTGTATCAACACTGGACTTGATCTTGGAGGTAGTTTCCAACCTTAGTGATACTATGATTTCATAACATTATTACAAATTTCCTGGAAACTGTGGTTGGTCCATTCTCCCAGAAAGCCGTCTTCCATTTTTTATGTCATAAGCCCAGCTGGCCAAACTCATCTGCTCAAACTTCAGTACCTTCATAAAACAGGGCGGCTGAGGGAGAGGGATTGTTACATCTTCTAGTTTGACCTCTTGCCTGTTGGAAGTAATTGTACATCATCCAGACCTACTTTATGAAACCTAAAGAATTATTAGCTTAAATTACATTTGCTACTTAATGGCCAATATTTCCCTCATAGGAAGATATGCTGCAGTCATTATGTGCACTTAGAAGAAATGTACTTAAGCTGCATCAGAGAAGGTTCAGATGAGATATTAGAAAAAAAAATTCAATAAAAGGATTATTAGGCATTGGAATGAGTTGCCTGGGAAGATGGCAGAGTCGTCATCTCCTGAAATTCAAGATGTGTCTGAATGTGGCACTTGGGAATATGATTTAGGGGTGATTATGGTGATGTTGGGTGGACAGTCGGACTAGATAATCTTGAAGGTTTCTTCCATCTTGATTGATTCTCTAATTCTGTGATTGTCTCTGGCTTACTTAGGACCACAGGCTCAATGTAGCCATTTCTCAGTGTTTTGAATTACCCAAAGAGTGCCTTCACTGAGTGGAGTGTAGGTTTATAAGTTTGATGTCCATAGTTAGGTGGTATGAATGATCCCCTGTACAGCTTTTTCTGTTTCCCAAAGTAATGATTTAATCATTTTCTGCAAAAATTTATGTGGCATCAATTATGAAATTTTTAGTAGCAACATATATGTCTATATATAAATTAATTAATTAAGGACAAAGTAAATATTCACAATTAAGCTAGGTGTAATTTTATAAAAGCAAAAAAGTGCCTAAAAGTGAAAAAAGTATCTAAACATTCAAGTGTCAGTAGGTTTTGTCAAATGGTTTAAAATGATATAGCTGTGAAAATGTTGCATGTGACAAAAAATTCTGAACTGGTTAGATTTGTTGGCTAAAACCATGAAAAATGAGACAATTTGTTATGCAAATTAAATTTGTAAGGCTTTTTCAGTAAACTTTTCTAATAGTATACAGGTAAGTTTTCAGTAACACATGTTTTCCAAAAACAAAAGTCTGTGTGTATAAATAAATATATGTATATAATGGTCTATATGTGTGTGTGTGTGTGTATATATATATGTATATATGTATATGTATATATATACATGTATATGTATAAAGTATGCTTGTAGTGGTCATTTGTATGATGCATAATACACTGTATGTTATTTTTATTATGAAAAGTTAATAGGTCTGAAGTCTGAAAAACTAATTACTTTGTTAATATGTTTCATTTTAGACATCTGAGCAAAATGGCCATTTTGATACAGAAGTGGTGGAGAGGTTATCTAAGAAGAAAATACTTCAGAGAAGTAGTGGAGGTAAAAAAGTACTTTTAAAAATTTTGTTTGGTTTTTTATAGAATGTGTATGAATGATTCATTCACTCACCATGAAATTAAAAAGCTGAAACTCCATCTCTTATACACACAGACACACTCTAAACTTTACTGTAAAGAAAAGCACCATTAATTTCAGAAAGCCTACTCTTAACAGTCAAGTCAAGTCCGTGTTTAAGTGTTTGCAGCTCTGGAGTGTTGGTCCCCAAACCAGCAATGAGATCTGCTCATGCAGAAGTCTGCCCACGTGATGCTAATTGCAGGATTGTAGCTTTACAAGATGCTTTTTTTTTTTTTTTTTTTTTTTCCTGGCAGAACTTTTAATTTTGAAAATAAAATAAGCCAATGTGTCTACACATTGCTATTTTATGTTTTAGTGGTTTAAATTTCTTATTGAACCTTGAAGTATTTGAGGTTTTGCCTTAATCTATGTAGAGATTTTCTCTTTTCCAACTTGCTAACTGGCTTAACTAATAAATGAGCCATCCTTTCAGTCTGTGGTTTTCACTCATCTTCTAAAAGTAATTCTTGAATACAGAGCAGATAGCTGCATAGTTGCATTGGGTTCTGTTTTGAAAAAAGTAGGACTTCAGCTGAATATTATTCCTGAGTATAAGGAAGATTTGTTTAATCTAGGAAAGCTTCTGTAGAAGAGAAGCATGATAATCCATCTTAAAATTTGTTAATAAAAAGAGAGGATGTGTGCAGTCACTGGGACAAGGGAAGGAAGAAATCAACGTGATCAAACAGTTTGCCTGTAATCACAGACCTGAGAGAGCTAACATTATAAAGCTCTCCTCAGCTTTCTGTCCTTGAATACAATTCCCAAAAGTAAAATAAATGTCTTTAATCAATAAAGCCTTATGAATATTTAGTTCTTCAAACAGACATAACTGAAATTCCTGCCAAATATGAAGTCCATGGAACAATATAGGACAAAAATTTCTGCAACTTAATACACACATTCTAAATCAGATGATGAATTAATTCAGTTTCTGGATTCCAGTACTTATCCAGTGCTAGCCAGGGCTCTAGAGGAACAGAATCTCATTAGAAAGCTTACAAATTTTACAGCAATCAGCACAGGAAATTATCTTTTCCCTTCAAACACTACATTTTGTTTTTGCCATCACTTGGATTGGAGAAGACTAAATAGAACAGCTTGATTGGAAGCCAACCTGAGTACCACACAAGTATGAGATAAAAAGTCACATTCTACTCCCTTTGGACTGCTGTATCCAGTGTGTTTTGGGGTTGACTCAAATATAAAGTGTGAGTTAATACCTTATAAATGTTGTTTTACTATCTTTACTCAATTAATGGCTGAACTTGGAACACGTAAAAAGCAAAAACTCAGCAGTTTAATATAACTTTCAAGTTAAAGGATCAGGCAATGTTTGCAATGAACTCTTGCTAGTAACTGTTGTAATGACACCTGAGTATGAAAGACAATGATGCATTTGGCATGATAGTTCCTTAAATACACTGGTCACTTTAAAATTTGTCTGCTGATAATGATTGGACTGGTATCTGCTGCCAGCAAACAAGGCAAAGCATATGCACAAAATACCCGTGATTGCTTGATAATGAATCATTTTAACGATTATATTCAAAATTGTGAAATGTGAATGGTACTGATGCGGAAAATAACAAAGGCTGAGGCTCATCAGATTGGCTGTCCATATGTGCATCACCACTAGTATTTCATTTGCTTCTCCTCTAGTGCCTCTTCCTTTGATTGCTAAGAGATATGTTTGGTAAAAAAACCTAAAAAACCTTACAACTGTTGATGGCATTTATATTATTAAAGTTATGTGCCTTTCTATTCTAAGTTATTTGGTATAACGCTCTGTTTCCTAATTAATCTCAAGCTAAAATTAAGAACTGCTCTCCCACACTTTTCTTAATAACTTGGTTACATTGATTGTGTTGGATTCTGAAAATTTGCATGACCTGCAGGAAGGTATGAATTTTAGGACCAGACAAACGCCAGAACCTGAAACAAACTATTCATCATTGTTTCTTTATTGCTATTTTCTCAAAGCCAAGGAATCATTTGCTAAATCAAGGGGAATTGTAGCATTTCATCATTATATGAAGCTGATATGCATGCTGGCCATATTTTCAGTTTACTTTGGAAGGAGATGCAGTTGAGAAAAGTGAATATTTTATGTTATATAGTTTGGCACTACCCTAAGTGATTTAGCTTCAAGTCCACAATCAGTTTTAAATAGTTCCAGTCTAATAGGAATTAGGAGGGTACCTATTTGCTTTACAAAACCCCCAAAATACACCATGACCACATTCGCAATTTAGACCATCTCTCAACCTTGATCTCACTCTCAAACTCAATCAGATCCCTGGTTCTTGGCAAATTCTTTGAATTTGTCATTTTATATTAACTCTTTAATGCAAAAGAAGACACCAGTCAGAGCACATTTGTAGATGATCCCCAAGCATGTTTTTAAATACAAAATGAGAAAATATACAAAAGTTTGTATATACAAGGCTTCAAATATGTTTTGAAAACCTACTCTTAAGATAAGCTGGAAGGAAGGCCTGCATATTAATGTCAGAATTCATGACAAAGACAAAGACATCCTGGTTCAGAAGTAGAGGTGGCACATGGATGAGATGGGAAATTCTTTCCAGAATGTCAGCCTGGCAGTGTCACATTTAAATTGGCACTTAGTGAAAAATGAGGGGCAGTCCAATGGGCATGGGCTGAACTGCATGAAATTCCACTTTAACATAAGAAAAGAGTTTTCTGGACAAGCAGGCCCCAGTTCTGGAAAGAATCTTTTGTTTATAAGGAGAGCACATAAATGTAGACTTGGGTTGAAGCACTAAATTATGACACTAAATTATGACACATTGTTTTTGTGAATAGCAATGAACACCTTCTCCATCATTTGTAATAGCAGAATTTTCAAATCAGGATTAGAAAACAGAGGCTAATACATTTGCAAAAGAACCTAGACGGTGATACAGCCTTTGGCTTTTGGTTCAAGAATTAAGTTGTAAGACAGTTACATGAGCAGTTCTGCATTTGAGAGACGTGATTTAGTGCAAGATTTGAGTAAAAGCAGGAATGTGTAACTTCCTTCTTGTTTTGGGTAACCCTCTTAAGTGGTGGTAGGGTAAGACCTGGATTCCTCATACCTTAGTGGGGTGCGCAAGATCAGACCTTAGTTGCCATTGACTGTCTCTGTAAATAGTAGGCAGAGTTCTTCAATACTTGGCCAAGCTCAGAGTCAAAGTGGTCCCACATTTTCTCTCAGTTTGGCTGATATAAAGAGCATTAATGATGTAAGGTGTCCAATATATGTTCCTCAATAAAATGGGATGCATTCGGATCTAAGTGCTCACAGCTTTCAAATATGAGAAGAGTAAACAAAGAGGTGTAAAATCGTTTAGTTTACTCACTGATCAACAGAAATCTGACTAATGTTTTTATGCTTCCATTAAAATGTATTTTATTTATTTGGTGGTGTGGTAACTCTTATGTTCCCTTCCAAAGAAAGAAAAGATGAGCTGCAACCCAAAATTGTATTAATTTAATTGACCAGTTTAGGGATATACTTAAGTCAGGCAACCATTATTTCAATCCATTATTAGCTATCTACAGTTACTATCACTCAGTAAATACTTATGGAGAATAAAGGGGAGACAGTCCATTATTTATTCTAATTTGTACATTTGGGGTAGATTTTCCCTTGAATATATATATATGTATGTATGTATCTATGTGTACGTATGCACATCCAAACGTAACTGTGAAACTTCTTTGAACTTTAACAATACTGCAATTTTCTTTCGTATAAGAAATATATTTTGTACTGTTTCCATTATTAGTAGATTGGTATGATATTAAAGTGAGCATTTAAAATGCACCTTAATTAAACTGCAGGAATTATGCCTTGCTTAATGTAATGAAGGAAGAGAATTTAAAATGAAGTAACATCATTGTGTTCATTTGTAAATAACATATTGCAGCCAACTGTTTCTTAATTGCCCAGACTGTTGATAAATAATCCAGTCCTGCTGCTCTCCACAGACAATTTGCTTTGGATCAGACTAGGCAATTCAAATAACACTAATTACAGTGAAACCCTTTTATAGTGAATTCCTGTTTGCCATGGGGGAGAAAATCACTATATCAGGGGAAAGCACTTTTGCCTTTGATTTGTGTCTAAAACATGAGAAACACATAAAAGCTGCATGTTGTGCTAAATAAAGGACATACTCTTGCATTCAAAGTACTTATATTTTACTTTTTATGATACAATTGTGAATTATGTTCATTTTGCATTTGTAATTAGAGGGCGGAACAGATGTGAAAGCTTAGTTTAAAGTGATGTATCCATTAAAATAACCTATGCTGCCAAGTGATTGCTTAGTATAATAGGGGATTCGTTCACTATGAGAGGAATTCTACTTTATTGGAAGGAAACCAGGACTTCAGGAAATGTTTTCTATATCAGGGGATTCACTGTAACATGGTATCATTGTATTTATGATTTTATGATGTTAAAATGCATATTAAATAAAACAAAATTCCAAATGATTACTCGGGAGGCAGCTAAGTACATAACATTTAGTACAGATGGTTGGAAGGCACAATTTTGCTCCATCACTGCATCCATATCCTTGAACGATTTCGACTGAAGACAGCATTTCTCTGAATTTTTCATTAAACCAGACATCTTGAAATATGAATTCTTTTTATGTTTCTGTGAGTTTTGGCTAAAAGAACCCCAGTGAATAAATCATACAATACTACATGTCACCAGCACTTGTGAATATTTCTGCTTTGTTATTCTACTCTCAGTAGAGCACCATTGATTATCAAACTCAGCGGAGAGCATTTTATGATCATATATCTCCATTAGCTCCTGGTTTGACTACCATAGATTTTTCTGGTTAAGCCTGCATTATGTATTAGGAAGCCTATCTCTTCAATACAAAGTTTGATTTTATTCTCTCTTAGCCTAGAACTCTTATTATGTATTATGTATAAAGATTCTTATCTTTTATATGTAAAAATAGCAGGACTGTCTTTGTGTAACTGAAATATGTGCCATCTTTTTTTTTTCTTGATTCACAGAGAGCATATTTTATTAAGAAGCAGAAATTCTACAATGAAATGGCTGTCAGGGTAAATATTTCTTCACTTGTTAAACAAATGAAAAGTCAATTGTGCTCCGAATTTGCTTTTAATAAAATGAGCAAAGCAGAATAATGTGCACTTTATTGATATGCTGATGGCAACAGCAGGAAATACTACATAGTTAAAAATTAAAAGTTTCACTGAGTAGTCAGGGTTGTATTTGAAAACTGTAGCTGAATTTGAGGTACATGAATGTGTCTTGCCCCATTTAAATGTCCATTGGACCTTATCATGTATGATACTGATAAAACCCCCAAACATTCTATCTGCCAGTGTTCTTACAAAAGAAAGAACATTTGTTCTACAAAAGTAGACATATATTTACAATTCTGTCAAACTACAGGGCTGTTAAGCTTGTTGATGTGGCTGTGCTTTTTCTCTTGTTAGTGTATGACATTTGCTGTGTTGCATCTCAAGAGTTAGAGAGCACAGGACAATTTCATTGCTTAAACATAGAGATGGAACTGAACTAATCTCATTGATGATATTAAAAGTGAATTTTGCTAGATGAAGAAGTGTATAAACAGACCTTGAACTTCAATGAATCTACAGCAAATGAAGTTTGTTGTGGGTAAAACTGCAAAACATATTTAACTAAAAACTAGCTTTTTTTTTTCCTGAACTTTGAAACTGCACTTGAACAAATATGTAAAAAAATATGGGGAAAGCATAAAATAATTTTTGTGATTAAGTATTTTTATGTTACTTATTTCTTTCATTTTGTGATATAAAACTGTTTTACTTTAGAAGCCTGTATCTTTTTAAGCCAGGCCCCTTACTATTTAAATTCTACCAAATGTAGGAATATGGTGACAGTGGAGATTAACCCAGGGATTAACACAGGGAAACTCATGTAGAGTAAGAAGATTGTCAGAATGAATTTTAATTTTGTGGCCTCTCTGAGTCCAGAATGACTCAGAGTCAAGAGACCTGTACTCATCAGGTGTTTTGCTTAGTTCTAGTTCTCTCAAAGGCACAAAGTAGAATCTTATATTTGGTGCATGTTTAAGAACTGAAAGTGTTTAACAGCAGTTTAGTACCTCACAAATATACCTTTTTGTTGTTGTAATAGTTCATTCCGTACTTAGCTAGTTTCAAAGTATTCCACAGCGGATAAATACTATTTACTCATGCAGCTGAGATCAGTGAGAAAATATAAGATGTAAGCCAGGTCCTAAAAGTTGCCTCTGTACTTCCAGAAGATATTTGAAGACCAAATTTCAGAGGTAATTATGTATTCTAGTCAAATGGAATTTTGCATTTGGTCTTTCATTTTTAAAAGAAATTGAATATGTTCCCATTCATTTGTAATGGAAATATAATGTTGAATCATTAGGTGACATAAATCTTCAAAGTACCATTTTTTCAGTCATGTCCTTTAATGGAAATTTAAATCAGTAGAAAACAATAGAACAGATCTTTATTTAGTTGGAAATGTCAGAATCGGATTCTCCTCTACCTAAATCTTGTGCAGCCATATCTGCAGAGCAGATTTTAAGTGCTACTGATCTGAAACACTGAATGCTTTTGTGTTTTTTTTCTGTCCTGTGTTTCTTGAAGAGCTAAGCAAGGTCCAATAGCAAATCAGGCCTGTTGCGTTTCTGCACAGATCATGTGTGCTTAAACCTCAGGCTTCCTAAGCCAACGGTTCCTTATATTCACTCATCATGATTTTGATTCATGATTAATATAACTCAGTGTTCTGAAAGTATAACAATAACTGTGTATGTTTTTCTATTTAACCACTTTGTTTTGTCTCATGGTATTATTAACTATTTCAGTTTATAGTCACTCTTTAGAAAGGCAGTTTCAGTTTTGGCATTTGAAGTATCAAGGGCATACACATGCTCATAGTTTTGAAGCCAGTCTACATATCTTGTCCTTCTGGATTGCATTTGATTGTAATCAGAGCTATCAGTTTAATCTTTTAAAATTAAATCAGAGATCTTGTTTAAATCAGTTTCAGTTTCAAGGCAAAATATTATTCTTTCTCTTGAAAGATTTAAAGTTCCTGTAAATTTTCAGCAACAAAAGTAATCCCATGGCAAAAAAAAATTCCACTAGCAGATGGCTTTTGATATATCAAGGTATTGCCATTTGTTTTAGTGCTTAAAATAAACATTATTTATAAGACCACTTACATTTTGATGTTACTTAATGAGGAATACGCATCATTGATTTGACTAGCTTAAGAGGTCATTTAGAACTCGCCCGTTAACAAGCTGTAATCTGCTGAGCACACAATGACTTTGTTTAAAATTATCTGTTCAGTGCTGATCAATGACAATAATTGTTTTGTACCAATCACTGTTGAAACTTGCTAATTACTTTGAAGGGCATACACACGTGTCGCTCCTTTTTCAAGAATTTTTTAAACATTCACCTTGGAATTAAAAAGAAATGCAGTCATAACATTATACTTCTTTATAAAAGCAAACATTTAAAACTTTCACATTGAAAATATGAGCATCATCAGAAGCTTTTTAAACAATGGTCTTTCCTAAAAAGATTAATCTTCAGTTTTGGGATCACTGACATACAGTATTAGGGAAACAGAAATCTGGCATAAAATAATTTGAGACACAATGCAGTCTTTCTTACTTAGGTTTCATTCAGTTGAAATCAGTGAGATCATTCTAAACAGAAAGTGGTGTAAATAAAGTTGAAGTGCAGCATTTCATTGGTATACTGAGCCCATTGGAGGTAGTTATAGCTTTATACTATTTGAGCCTTTTTCTTTCAGTTTGAGTTTTGATCCTCTAACCCAGAAATATCCAGTTCTGCATTTATAACTGTGAGGTGAAGACTGTCAGAAAGAGTTTCAAAGGGACCATAATCCTGCATTAATGAGCACATGGCTATATGGGAGCCAAGTTGCTCTTGTTGAGAAATTTTGAAGCCAAACAGAAAAACAAAGCTATGATCCTTATTCACATGCAAAGGATTTTTCTTAATCCCAGATCTCTGAAGGCACACTCATTCTCTGCTCTTTCTCTGTTCCTTTTTAACCCAATAAGCTTGTGTATGAGAAAGTAGTGTTGCAAAGAATATGAAATTTACTATCACCTAGTGCAAAGCAGCATGTCTAGAACCCTTCTTGTTCCCAGAACTCTTATGTTATAACAATATATAGAGGTCCAAACCCCTTTCACTTAAAAAAAAACCCAGAAGAACCCAAAAAACCCAAACAATAAAACCCCAAAACCAAAACAAAACAAAAAAACCCCAAAAACCCCCAGAAATAAAACCAAACAAAACAACAACAACAACAAAACCAAAACCCAACCAAAAAAAAAAACCCCAACCCCAAAACCAAACAAAGTCAATCACAAACAAATAACAACCTGTAGGTAAAAAAAAAAAGGCAACTTTTGAAATTTGTTTTAAGTCTTATTTGGGAAGGGAGGAAAATCCATGCTGATGCACAAATGGGAAATAGAAGAATATATTAACACTGCAAGTTAATGTCTTCTTATTCTTAATAAGTAACATATACCTCAAAGAATTGCTGAAAGCTTTTCTGTGATTCTTATTCTCTTGTTAAATCTCACATAAAAGGATAATTATAACTGTACCCCAAAGTGCCATCAGTTGAGGCCAAATGTTGACTTTTACTTTGAAGAATAGTGTCTGGGGGTTTGTGAATGCAAAGTGGTGCCAAAGTATGAAATATTCAGCCCTGCCTTAGTTGGTGTCATTTTAGATGGATCTAGTAAAAGTCTGGAGATGGGAAACATTGCATACTTTTGTCAGTTGTCACAGTGGTACAGAATTGGACTGTGCTGGAACTGGTAGGAGTAAAGAGAGTTTTGCCTGTTACTGAAGAGTGCTCCCAAGACTTGATGGTAAAGATTCTGAAATTACTGAGTGCAATGGTTAGTGATAATCTGGGCAATTGGCATCTTTTTTTACATTTGCCTTCTTCCTGAATCAAACACAAAAGCCATGACATTCTCTTCCTTTCCCCCCCCCCCAACCCCCCCCTTTTTTTTTTTTTTTTTTTAAAGGTGCTTATTTAGAAAGAGGTAGGCTAAGAAAAAAAACCAAATAGCAGAAACACGTGGGTTTCACTCCACTTAAAAAGTCATCCCTTGGTTCTGGAAAGAGAAAGGTTGATGTAAAGAAAAAAAATGTTCCTTATAGATATACTGAAATGTTTACGTTCTTGAAAAGTCTGGTAGCTAGGGGCCCACAGGAAAAGGAGAGCTCTTAGTATGTTGCAACATTTTACTTTTCTATGCCTTTAGATAAGGGGATACAGATGATACTTGCTTCTGGATAGTAAAATGTCCGACTTTGCTTTTTGAATGTAGATTCTGCCTTTCAGCTGTTATGTCTTTTAAGATTTCAAAACTGTAAAGGTCAAAGAGACAGATGTTGTAGCAAATGAAGCTATTGCAGACTAGAAAATAGAAATTGGGATATTAAAGTAGAAAAATATTGAGAAAAAAAGAGACAAAATGCAATGAAGGAAGTAAAGAATATTTTGCAGGAAAATTAATAATAAGTTCAAGCATGGAAGGATTTAAATATGGAGGAGATAGACCCTGAGAAGAGACGAAAAGATGGTTACTCTGTTTTTCAGATGTAGGCATCCAGAGTATACTGACCTCTTACGGCAAGGAAAATCAGGAGCAAGAGCAGCCCTCAGCATGACTGAATAGAGCAAGTTACATCTCACCTCTACATGTCTTGCCATAGGGATAAATGTAACTCACCAAATGGCAGTCCCGCTAGCTTTTTACCTAACTGCAGAATCACAGAATTACAGAATCATTTAGGTTGTGAATGACCTCTAAAGTCATTGAGTCCAACCTTTGACTGCTCATCACGTTGTCAACTAGATCATGGCACTAAGTGCCATGTTTATTTGTTTCTCAGACTCTTTCAGGGATGGTGACTCCACCATCTCCCTGGGCAGCCCATTCCAATGCTTAATTGTCCATTCTTAATGCTTACTTTGCCATGCCAAAAAGCAGATGGCTGGTAAACAGGTAACGATTTCAGAAACATCTTGATTAGAATTTTCAAGTATCAGAGAAGGTTTAAACACATTTGTTGAAATCAGTTATTGGGGAAAATTGGGTGTAGGCTAAGTATTTTTTTTCCTCCTCTTTTATTTTTTTCTTTCTTTCTTTTCTTTTTTTTTTTTTTTTTTTTTTAATGATGCTTTTCAAAATGCACCAAAATATTAACCATTTTTGTTGGAGGATGCTACCTAATTTCTATATGCATAATACAACTTTATAACTAGCTACAGATAAAGAGCTTTTCTTCTCCAGGTTAGGCTTTCTAAAGATTAGGCTTTCTCTGTTATGCGAGAGAATAGTATTTCTTGAGAAGAATGAAACTAATGTGGAACAAATAGACATGAATCATTTTACACTGGAGGTGAAATAAATGCAATTTATAAATTAACTTTCCAGAAGGTCTGACTCATTGAGTTCCTGGGAAGGCTTTTATTCAGTTTACACCTTTGCAGGGCACAAAGGTGAAAGTGTAGCAGGAGATGTTGGTAAGGTGGTGACTCAGTGCTACAATATGTTACAACCTACACTAATTTTTTCGTTGAAACTTATCGGTGCTTCTACTTGGTATGGCTTTTAAGGAAAGAGGTACTTGGGAAACAGTACATATATTTGATATGCCTGCAATCTTTTTATTTGAAATATATTAAACAAGTATTTATTTCCTCCAGATCCAGAAAACGTGGCGAGGCTATTATGTTCGGAAGTATATCCATAATTTTTATGCTCTGAAGAAATACTTGAAAGCTGTTTCTGTGAATAACGAGCTTGTCAGGTAAAGATAAAAGCTCCATGTGGTAAAGCACTCGTTTGCTCTTCTTTTATTTGTAGAAAGTTTGTGGCACTAATTAAACTATTTCTTTGAGTGTAGGTTCTCCTCCATTTTCAAATATATGTGTGTGTGTATATATATATATATATATATATATATATATCAGTCATGATTCTCTTTATCCTATGCCTATTCATGTTGCACCACATTCTGTTCCCATTTACACTGTTATGAATTCAGAATAATTTCTTTGAATTAATTAGGTGTGCTCTGGGTTTGTACTAGTTTAAGAAAAATGGAATTGGCTCTTCACCCATGCTTAAAACTTGTAGATTATTATGCCCTAAATAGGGTTTGTTGAACTAGATATTTTTTTTCCCACTATACACAAGCTAACCAAAATTTTCTTTTTATAATTTGTTTTGAATATGGATTATTGGTAATGAATGCAAGAGCAGATTTGGATTTAAGTTTCATGCATGAGCCATACTATGAATATTAATTGGGAAAGATGCTGGTGTGGATACAGTAAAGCAGATTCTTTTCATAGTTACAGAAGAGAACGAATAGCCTGTCAGATTTCTGTCTAGAACTGTTCTTGCTCTATGTTCTTACCCTATTTCTTCTATTCGTCTGTTGTATTTCCCTGTACATAAGCTGAAACCTCTCTAAAATAGAGGTAATTATTTCCCTGTAGTGGATTTGATATCCTGATCCATGACCATTACTCAGATAACAGTAGAAACAAACAGATGAAATGCTGGGTGACCATGATCATTACTTTCTCAGTGTAAATGAAAGCTGTTGGACAAAATCCATACAGTGTTTGCCATTCAGAACATCTGAGACAAATCTTTGCTTTCTCAAGTACAGAAATATAAGGGAGTCTAGTAAACCAACATTTCTAGAAATTCTGTCTAAATCACATGGCAAAGGCTGTTACATAAAGCAGCATATGCAAATTATACATGAAAAAAAACCAGGATTATCCAGCTTCTTGTATGCTGGTTTATAATGGTATTATTCTTCCATAGTACAGCTGGTGCTACATCCTCTTTTTCATAACATTATTTCTTGTGTATTACATTGTTACCTACAATGAACCATACTGATAGTCACCTACCTCTGGTCTCCCATTTTTATTCATTTAAGTGTATTCTTTGCAGGAAGTGAGGTCACAACTCAGCAAAGCCAGACTTAAACATTCTGTTATAGCTTAAATGGTATCTTGATCTGAAATCCTTGAAATATTCCCTCTTGAAAAGGTAGAATCCTAGGAAGACTAGACTAAATCTTGGAAAATAAGTGAAGCCATAACTTCTCTGGTTTAAAATCCGTATCACTGGGTGAACTGAAAAAACAGAACCTGCTTTTCTGATCGTAATTGTTCTATCACTCTTCTTCATTCCCTGCCTAAATCTAGACCATGGCTCATAACTTGTTGCTTAGATTGACCTTTAATGTGTGCCAACAAAACAAGATAGCAAGTGGTATTCCTGCTGCACTGTGAACATGGATTGGTTGGAGCTTTGTATTTTATTTCCCCACACCCACTATAGATTTCTCCTGGGTATACCTTACTTTGGAAGACTACAAAAATATTTGGTTTTCAGTACTTTCACATGTTGATCAAATTCCATAGTATTTAGTTTAGGTTAAAAACTATTGAAAACCATAAAGCCTACGCATTGTGTAGATATTTTAACCAAGAAACACTTTTGTGCTCTTTAACAGGTAAGATGAGCAGTATGACTTCACGTACATCAAAATGTGTCAAAGATGGTCTGTGTCAACTCTTATCTGGCAACTGATATATTGATATTTTACTAATTTGAGTTCTAATTCCGGAGTTCACAGAAATACATGTCTTTCATCTTTTCAGTTAAAAAAAGTTAAAAATTAATTGTTGAGCTAATTTGGACAAATGGATTGTATTATTGTTTCAATTTTTAAAACACGAGTTACCAACTGCAATCAAGAATCACTGTAGTAATCCCTTTACTGGGGTACATTTGAAAACGAATATGTATATCACCTTCAACATTCTTCTTATGAAATCTGACAGATGTTTAGTGAGAATTAGGTGTAGGCCCTCAGTCAAACAGATTTTTCCTGTCATTGGGCTAAGTTGCTGCCAACTACTTTGGCCCCAAGGTGGCCCACTGTGTTTCTTATGTGGAATATTGAGCCAGGTGGAGGAAAGATTCTCCTCATATTTTCATTAGCCATCACATTGGCTCTGGACAAGTATAACCTCACTGTTCATAAACATTTTTGCATATAAAAATTATTGCAACTGTGCACTGTAAAAACCACAAGGAATTGTCAGAAATAGAAGGAATTAATTTATGAAATGGCTGGGTTTTATTAAAACATCAACATTATGGAAATTTACTTGTTGATGGACAGAGAGACTGCCTTTGAGTGTTTCACACTCAGATTAGACTGCCTTTGAGTGTTTCACGTCTCTAGATCTCCATAAAGCAGCACTACATGGAACATGATATAATGCACATGAATACGTAAAACTGACCTCTGCCTCCCACAAAAAAAGCAGGAGATATTTTTAATTTCAAAAATTTGTTTACAATTTGTTCTTTCTAGAATTGTGATGTAATTCTGAGTTGAACTACACTGTACAGTTCTCTGTCTTATCTATTCTAGAGTAGCACTGGCAGAATTTTTATTTGTCAACACCTATCTAAAATCACATTGCAAGTCCTTCCATCTTTTGGACTCCAGAGCCAGGATTTGTGCCTAATTTTCTCCTCTTTCATTAAGGAGGAGCCTATATCAAATCATCCCTCACTCATTTCTAAAAGAAACTTTAGAGGAAGTTCTCATTAAACTTTGGGCATTCTGTTAAGTTTCTTATAAGAATATCTTAAAAGAATTATTGACCAAAGTTTGTTTTCTTCTCATTCCTTCTTTACTCTATTTTTTTTAAATAAAGGACACTTGTTGTACTAAGTGGTTTTCTCAACCAGTAGCCACATCTTTACCATGCAGCTTTAATACAAACTGTCCTTATTTAATAGCTGCCCTCATTTAATAGCCAGACCTTTATAATTTGTCTTTAGTGTGAAAACCCCAGGAGAAAGTAAACTTAATAGAAGCTGCCCCAGTTTAAAGCCACAGAGGAATGTAATTAAGTTTAACAGAAATTGATTTAACAGAAATTGACCTAAAATATAATTAAATAATAATAGTCATATTATGTGTGAGTTTCCACTCACTTAACAGACTGGTTATGGCACTGTTAGACTTAACAGACTTAAGGCACTGCCTTTGTACAAACTGAAGATAACTCTTGGCTTTAGCTCCCAGAACGGCTAAATTCCTCCAGCATTTCTATTACTTCCCACTGCTACAGAACCACTAGGTCTGATGGCTGCTGGAGTCCCCAGTAGAGTCCCTAGGAGTTACATTGAGAAGTGCTTGAAAGAATCCCTTCGGAGATGAAAAAGAACAAATTTGAACCCTAAACTCTGTCTATGTAAGGACATACTCAGATTTTTAACATTTATACAGTTTAGCAATGAAACGGTTCATTAGTCCTGAGTTCTCTTTTGCCTAAAAGATATAGGAAGTTCTTAATGAAGCAAGTAAGAACCTTGTTCTTAAATATTTATTTTACTATATTTTGTTACTTAGATTTTAGTAAAAAATCCTCATCTGTAGCATCCATTTTTTATTTAAGTACCAATATGTACTGTATTCTATCTCAGTATGGATTAGTTGGATGGTTTAATTTATAAATATATGCATGAAAGTAAATTTCATTACTTCTCAGTGCAGTTAGTATATTTAATTTTAAGGGAAAATACTTTCTGTTGAAATGTTCTTAAAGCTGCATTTACCATCTCCAAGAGCTGGCTAAATGGTTACAAGGGGAAATATGCCAGAAGCAATTGCCATAGGCTATAACTCCATATGATGCATTAGAATTTTGTTTTATGTGAAACAGTTTCCAGTCCATGATAAGCAAATGGACATCAGTTCACATAAATTAGCATGCTGGTGCCATTATATCTGAAGAATTTATGGATGATGTCAGTTGCCCAACTGTGTGATTAACTTGCAGTTCTTTGCCTAAGGTTATCTACACACTGGCCTTTAAACTATAGTAAAGGAACTTTGCTACATGTCAGGTGTGCAAGTAGAGATAAGATTTTGGGATGTATTGGTCCATTTACTGATGAATGACACCACCTAAATTTTTCCCTAAGGCACAGAAATGGGTAAAGAAAGCCGTATCAGAAAACTAACAAAGCAGTGGCAAACTGCTGGCATTGAGGTTCTTATGTAATCAAGGCAGGTAGTTCAGCTTTCTTGGCTACTGAATAAACACTGACTTAAAGGTAGCAAACTAAGGCCTGAGTCTACCTTTAATAAGCATCATAGTTTATGAAAACATTGTTGCATTTATAAATCAGGAATTTCACACACTTGCAGGATCAACACCAAATTCTTCTTTCCATTGTTGGCATGAGTAGTAAGTGGCCCTGCAGAGTATGGCTTTGATCCAAGTTTGACTTGCTGTTCTATCAGCAGATTTAGTTTCACAGTCATCATTAAAACCTCCAGGTCTTCAAGACACACCAGGAAAATAGATAATACAAAATGATAAAAATCACTCCTTTGGCAATATATGTATTCACAAATCATTTGTGTAGCTTGATTTTTTATAACCCTAATGAAGAGTGAAATTAAAGAGTACTTACATGTTGCTGGTGATCTAATCCAATGTTTAGCTATTCTGTAAATATGCCTGAGAATGCAGTATGGAAAAAAGTAAGATTATCTCTCTTATTCTAGATTACTGTACCATTTCTGAAGCATATTTTCTAACATAGAAAGTACTTGGTTTCTTAAAACTTTTGAGGTATAGCTATTTTCCATGAGTGGGCTTGAAATAAATTGTTTTTTGTCACAGTAATATGAGGAGAACTTGCTCAGCCTCCACCTGTCAGTTCCTTTTTGATAATTATAAGTCCATGTGC